AATTCCGCATCCAAACTCCTTTGAGTCGGGTCTCTCCCCGAGCCGTTATGTTTCTCCTTAACGATGTCAACGAGTGACAAGTCTCCCTAGATGAGAAACACGAGATAAGCCGAATGTTTATTTATTTATTTATTTATTTATTTATTAGATTTACAGTTTGTAGGAGAATATCTCGCTGGCACAAGGCCGCAATTTAATATGAAGAATTACATCGATAGCAGATGTTTTTTGAGCAAACGTTTAAAGGTTGACAGGGTTGCAGCTTCTCGGATCTCCAGGGGGAGTTCGTTCCAGACTGACGACATTTGAGAGATAGGCGCCACTCTTGTGGCCTCCAGTGCAATGTGTTGGCTTTTTATGATCAGAAGTCGCGAAGGGCGATCCGAGCAGAAGAACTCAGGGGCCGGGAAATGAGGAAAGGTCTCAGGAAATCTGACGTAACGAAAGGCAAGACATGCGACTCGGTAAACAAAGATTCCGTAGATGTCCGGGATAGATAGCTTTTTGAAGAGATGAGAGATCGGTGCCCCACGAGGGTATCCATAAACTGCCCTCAGACCATTTCTCAGGGCAATCTGTATAGGTCGAGAGTAGGACACAGTCCGCGGAGTACCCCACACTGGAATACAATAGGCGAGAGAGCTGATGTAGAGCACACGAAAGACATTTAAGAGAGTTGAGCGAGCGAATCCTAGCCTGCGAAGTCTATGGAGGCAGTATGAAAAACCAGCGAGTCTGCCCTGGAGGGCGGCAGCATGACCCCACCAAGACCATGAGTCGCTGAGGATCACACCCAGGCAGGTGGTCCGGCTCGACAGTTGGAGAAGGATGCCATCGAGAAAGACTTCGATCCGAAGCTCACCGCGCCTTGACGCTCCCGGCCGGAAGAGTAAAAGCTTCGTTTTGGAAGCATTTATGACAAGTCGCAGCGATCGGAATGTCTTTTGTACGGTTTCTAGAAGAAGGTTGAAAGCACAGACATCCGCGTCGAGATTTGACCGATTTGCACTGAACAAGACTGTCGTGTCGTCAGCGAATGAGACGAGTTTGAGTGAGGGCGAGAGGGAATTTGAGCGTATGAGGAGAACGTTGATATATATAACGAACAAGAGGGGGCCCAGAACTGAACCTTGGGGCACGCCATAATTAATAGGACACGACTTAGACTCTGTACCAGCAGCAACAACCCGGATTCTTCGATTCCGCAGGAACGAAGAAAACCATTCGCAGCTAGGGTCGTCAACCCCGAGATAGGAGAGCTCCCTGAGGAGGATGTCGTGGTCGAGAGAATCGAAAGCCTTAGAAAGGTCCAGGAAGACAGCGATGACATAGCGGCCGCGGTTCCATGAGTCCATGACGAATTGCTTGATCTGAAGCAGCGCACTCTCCGTGGACCTATCTGGCAAAAAGCCGTGCTGACACGTCGATAACAGTCCAGAACTGAGGAGAAATGGACGTAACTGGAGGAGGACGCATCGTTCAAAGAGCTTAGACAGGAAAGAGGAAAGACTGATTGGTCGGTAGTTACCAGGACTTCCGACATCCCCCTTTCCCTTGTGTATAGGAACAACACGAGACTCTTTGAAAGCACGCGGATAGATCGAGTGTCTTATCGATAGATTGAATACGAAGGCAATCGGCACTGCCAGCAGGGCTATGGAGGCAGCAATAACCTTGGACGGGACCATAGAGAGAGATTTACCGTAGGTGACCTTCATACCAGCGATCACATCTGGAAGAGAATAGGGGTCAACGAAGCGGATAGAGAACGATGGGTCAATCGTACAACCGTCGACAGGATCACAAGGGGGAGTAGCACCCGCCTGGGAAAGGACTGATGTAAAAGCTCTCTCCCCAACCTCCGAGAAGAACTCCGCGAACCTGTCCAGTTTGCACTTGATTTCCGCAGGAGAACCCTGAGAGAGGAAGGCAGCAGCCGTACGATCCCGAGATCGACCACACGAGGAGTTGATGAGTCTCCAGAGCTTACCGCCAGAGCGGCCCACTCTCGAAACGAGGACGGAAGTATATTTTGAACGTGCTATAGAAATGAGTTTTCTATAGCGCTTTAGACAAGAGTAGAAGTTTCTCTTGTCCCTTAGGACTCCACGTCTAGAAAAAAGCTATGGCCGTACATCAGGGAGTGATCTACGCGAGGGAAGAAAGGGCTCTAGAGTACCAGGGCCTATCTCCGGCTCGGACGACACTGGGAACCTTGGGGAATGCAGAGTCGTATAACTCATAGAGCATGGAATTAAAGAGATCATGTGCAGCGTCAACGTCGTTGCACCCGTATATCCGGCTCCAATCGAAGGCCTCCAGAGCAGTATGAAAGCAAGAGTAATTCTTTTTGCTGAAGATACGGCGCTCTGGATGTGCGTTCGAAGAAGGCAGGTCGAGAAGTGTGAAGGAAAACCTAACCGCCACCGGAAGATGGTCGGAGAACTCTAGGCTGTTTGAAATAGATACCACCGCGTCGCGCAGACTGTCACCCGACGTGATCAAGGCAGGATCCAGAGGCCGGTCGAGTGACACATCTGTGTAATGGCGACAACTCCAGTTCACTCATGCTCGAGCAGAAACTAGGGGTTGGTGGATGGGTGGAAAGAAGATCAATATTTAAATCCCCGATAATGAGGACTGAAGACGTAGATGGAGTTTGGGAGAGCTTTTGACTTAGAAGGTTGACAAGACGATCAGCATGCATAACATGACTAGAGTAAAGAGCAGCCAAAGGAGCGACTCGGATCCAGCACCGATATTAACAATAACCGCCTGTATAGATTCGTCGTCAGTCTGAAAACTCTCCCAGCCGGTAACAGCGACAGAGTTTTCGACAAATACCGAGACACCTCCATAGGAGGATTTTCTACAGGTATGATAGTGGGAAAAACCCTCGATTTGATAGACAGGAGCTTCTAAGAGCGAGAGCCATGTCTCTGAGCAACAGATAATATCATAACACTTAGAAAACCTTGCAATTAATAGGTCGAACTTGTAGACCTGTTTGAGGGAACGGGTGTTGATGTGGATGATGCTGAGAGATGAGTTTAAGTCTGAGTCAGCCGTCGATAGTCAGACCTTCGGATTCACGTGAGCGGGAGGCACCACATTCTCCCCCGGCACCCCCGACGAGGCAGGAAGAGGCGGCGGGACGGCGACCAACCGTGGACTCCTCCCCATCCGTCACCTCGGACTCCACCGTCCCCGAGGCACTGGGCGGCGAGGCAAAGTCCGCCACACGGGACTGTAGAAGTACTCCCACAAATGGCTTGAAACAGATGCCGGCGGGCCAGATTGACCCGGTGTTGAAAGTGTCAGCAGAGTCTCTCGGCACCCCGACAACGAAGGAGGCGTGATTTTGGTTTTCACGTTGTTTAAATTTTGAGACTGTCATGACCTGATCAGAGAACCCCAGACAGTGCTCCAGCATGTCCTTGGCCGTAGTCTCAGGTGCAAGCCCAGTCACGAATAGCTGGTAGGGTAATCCAGCAGTATGAGAGCGAGAGCGCGCGGGCAGGCCCCGTCTCGGAGCAGCTCTCAGTCGCGACTCCCCGGCGCCCGAGCCCCTAGTGATGGGCCTCGGGGGACGAGAAGTCGTCCCGTCCGGTCGAGCGGATTTGTCGGGAAATCCCCGAGCAGACCCGTATTCAGGCGGACCCCGGTCGTGGGACCCAGCCCGATCCCTATGAAGCGGCGTAGCGTGCCCATTGCGTCCCTCGTACCCACGATTGCTCTCAGGGCAATGAGTATTAACCACACATCCAGCCGGCCTCACCTCTCGGCCCAAACACACTCGCTCAGTCCAGGCGTCACACACTGAAGAGATGGAGTCAAGTCATGTTACTTAAACCGATGTCGGCGCCCAGCCCTGCGCAGCGACGCCGGGAAATCGGACTGCGCAACGGAGAGAAGTCTCCGATCAATAGCCATTAACGCTTCCAAGAGCTGTTGCGGCGAGCGAGCGGACAGGTTCGTCCAGACCGGTGCGAGCAAATGAAGATATCAACGAGAATTATTGATACTGATACTCAAACGCTCAGGAGTCAATGTTCATGAGCACGCACACATAAACACGCAGAATCCAAACGCGTAAATCGATTACCACGCATCTGTAATACGGTAGCGATGAGCGGACCGCGCGCGCTTGATGTAGGTACCGATCGCGCCGGCTGGCAAACATGCGTTCCAGTATAATGGGCCACGTTTGTCCTGCGTTCGGTCTGTGACAGGGAGAGCTAGCTCCGCGGATGTATATTTCGGTCTCCTCCGGTGATCTCGCCGCGATCCAGCTCCGACCGTGGCGATTGTATATCACCTTGTCGTGATTGGGGCTCCGTGAGTTTTCAGAATAATTTCATCTGCGCTCCTAATGACCCCGAGTGAGCCGATCTTCCGCCGGCGGCATCCTCGAGATATCTGTTCAAATAAACGACGACGCCCGGCAAAGACATCAACATTGTATCGTCCGCACGGCCGGCGGGGGAAACTGTCGCAGAACACGCGACGTTTCAGTTTGCGAGAAGCCGGAGCTCTATAGTACTTCGATCCCAGTTTCGCTTCTGTTTGCTCCTCTGTAAGTGCCCAATGTGAGTGTTTGTTTGATGGTGCTCCCCGAAGTAAGTGTTTGTGATGGCGACGGAGTAGCCGCTTTGGACCATCCACAAACGGTCCTTCCGAGATTGAACAGAAGCTCCGACATTCGAACGCGCTGTTGAACGGCTTGATTGTCTTCTGACTTCGGACGCAGTTGAACGATCGCTAGAGGAGGAACAAACTAGAGAGCGAAGAAGATGCAGTCCGATCCCTGGCGACGAGGCTTCGCCTAATGAAGCAAGATATCAATGGCAAGCAGGTCGAACTCGTGCGGGGCGAGCTCCGCATTCAAGGGGTCGCTGAGGTCGTCAATCACGTGATTTCCCAGCCGGCGGTCGTCCACGAAGGCGTTCCATATCTCGCCCACAATTACTTAACCAATTAACCGATCATCGAAAACTCACCTGTTGCTCAGAGACTGCCATTTTCCGCGTCCTAGCCTTTGTTGTCGATTGGGGATCTGAAAGGAAGAGGGAAGTTTTGGCCAGTCGGGTCAGAGATTTTGAGATTTTTCCCGAGAGTCTAGCCGATTCGTGGTCCACGAACTCGACATGCTCCCGATCGAGGAATCGAGAGTTCCGCAGCTCATTCTGCAGAACCAATCTGGACAGACTGGGAGCGGAAGAGACAGAAAAGAGACGAAGTAATTAATCAGGAATTTTCGAAAGCCAGTAGTTTACTTTGGAACGCTCGCGCTCCATTGATCGCTGGATGCCTTCGAAGTCTTCACAACTCGAAGGAGGAAAAATAAGGCGATGTTCAAATAACAAATGCCTACAACTCAATTTCGGCCGGAGAATCCGTGCTCGGAACGCGCGAGGGGTCTCATTTTTTCATTGATTTATTCTACGCGCACTTGTCCGCTTTTTCGCGGACGATTTAAATTCAGAGCCGGCGATTTTTCTTCGAATCTTTACCTGGATTTATTACCGGGGGAAAGCGCAGCGCGGAACGTACGCAACCCTCAATGAGTCGCTGGCTCAGGAAAAGGCGACGTTGTACTCACGAGACACGCTACCTCTCGGAAAGAATCCCGTCTGCATATTCCCGAGGGCGGGTAACCTCATTGCGATCGTCTCTATGGGAGTTCTTTCTGGAATTTCTTTCAAGCCCGATTTGAAAAACTCGATGCATCGATAGCAGCGTTAGCGAGCGCGGAATGTCCGTCAACATTAAACACGCTACTTGGAAGTTCGCCTGATCGGCCGGCCGGTTCCGAAAGAAAGGAAGGAAGAAGAAAAGAAAGCCGACAAGCGTGGAGTGTGACCGACACGATGTTGCATTGAGAGGCGGCTTGGCTGGCGGGTCCATTTGGTGGTCATCAGAAATTTGAAAAAAGCGAAGACTGTGGCACTGTGTCAAGAATTGTATGCGATTCTCTGTCCGAACGCCGACAGCGGGAGAGTACACCCCACCAACACTACCACAAACACCGGGTTCGACACAAACTCCATCGTGCGTTGCCGCCGCCGAAACCGCCACCAAAACCGCTGATAAGACCTCGTGACCTCTCCTCTTCTATTCACGAGATTTGTCTTTCTTTTTAAAAGGCATCGTCCCATCCATTCGGCGTCGTCTGAAGCTACGACGCCATTCACTAACAAACAAAGGACCTCATGAAGGAGTTTCGAAAATCGCAACAGAGAGAAGGAGGTAGAAAAACTGGTTGATGCGGTGAAGGCAGCGAACGACATTCCCCATCGAGCATTCGTTTATGGTTACGTGATTCATCATTGCTCGCCGGGAACGCTTCCAATCAGAGCGGATTCGCCCGTTCCTCGATAACCATGAGCACGTACACGAACAGATTAATCAACACAGCGAACTTTATTTAACTCCATCAAACCGGGTTCAGAGATCTAACAGCAGATTTTTCGGTCGGAATTCGTTCTCTGCTCCCCGCGTACTACTTCCCGGAGAAATAATTCACAGTTTTGTCGGAGAGAAATTCCAAAACGATTAAAGCTCCCAACACCGGCGATTTCGCCTTTGGTCCGAGCAGTGTTTTCTGAATTGAGGTAGGCGCCTAAAGGAATGAGGTCTCGTAAAAAGCCGGCGGTCGAATTTAATTTCGATGCTCCGGGTGCTCAATCTCTCACGGTCACATCACAGTCAGCCGTTCCCGACGCGGACAGGCTGTTCATATATGTCATCGTACCAATGGGATTCAGAATCGGATTCATATGAAGCTACACGGGGATCCTTCCCCTCTCCTGCGGCTAATACCCGCCTCGGAGCCCATAAATTGGAAAATAAAAGGTCCCGACTGCCACCGGAGCTATCGAATGGCAGATTGAAGAGATTTTATCGATCTGAGTCACTGTGCTTCCACGCCGGGATGAACCTTTGGTTTTGAAGAGATCCGTAGAAAAACCGCGTCTGCCCCCTCTCTCCCTCCGAGTAGAGAATTTTGAAGTCTATCGTATTGGACTCACCCTCGAATTGTTAGAAAGTCATAGGAGAGATGCGGTTGCTCCAAGGAGGAGACTAACGAGAGGCGTCCGCGATTTGTGGGCGCTATGCCGAGCACTGACATCGCCCGTGATGTCACGAATCACGAATTCGCAGGAGACCTCGATTGAGGACAGCAGACGTACGATCGTAAGCAGAGAAGCTAACGGCCCAACCGGCGTTCCGCGTACACGCAAACGAACCCCTTCCTTCGGAGAAGACTTTCCTTTCGAGGAAGATAAACCCCGACTTATATAATCGTACGTAGTCGCTGACACCGCCGACGCTGCTTCTATGTACTGACGGATCAACGCACGGCGGCGATCGAACGCTTGGTCGGTCGGTAACATTGAACGTTTCTCGCGGGCACTGTTACTGTTACCGTAACCCACTTCGACTTTTCGTTTTGCTATCGGTGTGCAGCGTCACTAAAGGTTATCGCTGAAGCACCGGCACCAAGCAGGCGAGCGAGCCAAAAGGGCCAAGTTCAACGGAGACCAATCTGAAACGGGGAAAAAATCCGCCGAACATCCCGACGATCCCCGGCAGCGATCGGAGCCAGGAAGGGAGCATGATTGTGAGACGAAAAATTTTATAAATTTCATAAGCCGCCATTCGGGCCCCTCTCCAAACCTTCGGATGAGTTCGCGATAATCGACGAAAAGAGGAAAGCCAGTCTCGCCGCTGCGGCCTCGCCCAGGAAACACTACACCAAGGAAACATGTCCAGGCTTGATTCCCATATCTATCTGGAACGCCATAGCGCGAATGCAATCTCTACTGACCGGAGAGTTTTACAAGGAGTACATATAAATTATCGTTATTTGAATTTCCCCCTCACCCATGAAAAGTGCCGTTGCTCGTTGGACGAAGATGATCAGCTGTTAGCCTCGGGCGCATTCTTTCAGTCGTGATCCGGATCACCTTCATGGCCCTCATGGGAGTAGTCCTCATCATCTCCCATACGATGATCGTTGTTATCGGTATGATCTTGAAGATCAGTGACATCATCACCGCAGCTGTCATCATCATCCGGGCGATTATCGTGAAAACCTGCTCATCAGACATAGAAGTTGCGTGTTCATGGAACTTTCATACTCGCGACTGAAGTGCTGCAAGCGAGACCTGAGGTCGGAGGCTTGTCCGAATTAACGATGTCAATAATGAAGCTGCATTCTCTCGATTCAAGATTTACTCTGCACCGAACGAACCGAACAGTGATTTTGATGCGGAGCCGCAGCGATTCCCCTTCCACATCAGAATCGTTCGCAGATGCTTGCGAGCTCCGAAACGTGCGATAGATCACATACTGCCGAACAATATAAGTGGGTTCTGTACCTCTAGATTGAAACGGCAAGGAAACAAAAGGCCACCTTCCTATCGAATGCTAAAGTAGTTTCGCGGTTAACGGTTGTTCGTCGATCCAGGGTCAGAGGTGACCGAAGACGAAGCGAAGAAAGACACGTAGGAGGGAACAGCAGAAAACAAAGTCGGCTGAATCCCCTCCAAGGAGGAGAATTGAGCGAGCATGACCATCGGACAGGCATCGCCAGACATTGACCGGTCACTCAGATTCCCGATTCTCGAATGATTGATCTCCTCTGATTCCCTTGTCTCTGAATATTCATCTAGTAATTCTACCCGTTCGTGAGTATCTTCGAGACTAACGGAAGTTTCGTCTAGATCCTTCTTCGCGCCACCACGGAGTCTATAGCCTGAGATCTGGAGAACATGCTCCATCTAGTAGTCAACCGTGCGACGCTCACCACACCCGGTTCACATTTCGGCCCTCGACTTTATGAATATGATGATATATGAGATGCTGTCCGAAAACCCACGAGCTCTGGCTACATTTCGCTTGGGCATCTTTATCAGGCATCGACCGCGATCTGTTTTGAAAAATCAACCACCGAGCTCGTATCGTCCAGCGGGAGATATATCTCGCATTCTGAGATATCCTTCATGATTAGCTTATCTGTCATGCTCCGCTCCGTCGTAGTGAGTTTGCGTTACTGATAATCTCGGTTGCAGTGGGAATCCGTCGGGAGGGAATTCGACCGAAAAAATCCATGCGCATCCGTTTCGTCGATGATTATGGTCTACGCGGAAGCTCATGGTATATTCCGAGCTCATGACGATTGTGGAAAAAAAATGAAAGATTCATTCAAGGAAAACCCGAACGACTTCCCTGCGGTGTTTCCGACTCGATGATACTATTGACATTGGATCTAGTGGGAATGCGCTGCTTCCGATTGCTGCGATTATTCACAGGAATAACACCATCATTCGTGTTCAATCACGAAGACCAGAAATCGTCCTAATTCCGTACTCTAAAGGAAGTCGGTCGGGCGGGAAAGACTTTGGCGATGCTGCCAGTGTCCGCCCAATGCCTTTGCCCATTTCCCGCGCGAAGGCATTCGGAGAGATTCATATGAATCTCTCAGATTAATGAGTATGCCCCGATTGCGATCGAACGGACGCTCGATATTTTTCTGATGATGTCCCGGGACGAGAAAGCAGTAGTCGTCTGGATTTTCTGTCACGTTGTTTATCGGGATGGACAGAACGAGGGCTGATCTATCGATCTGATAGAGAAAGAAAAGACTCGCCAATTTCTGAAGCGGAGTTCTACCGTCGATCGTTCGTTTCGCCTCGGAGCCCGTGTCATTGAAGATTTGAATTCAAATCATTCGAATTGAAACGGGTAATGACGGTCCAACAATATGTACGGGAGACGCCGGAGTATCTGACTAGCGGGAAGATTCAGCGCGATTCTAACAGAAATGACTCATGCAATGAGCCGGTCCTTGGAGAGAATGGAGCCCTAACTGGGCAGAGCAGGAAACCAGTCTACACGTCCCACGGCATTGCTTGAACTTAAGGCCCATTTCCCCGTTGGAGGAGACTGGCCGAGGACATATTGCCCATGGGGGTCACGTTTCGCGTGAAAAGCGTCGCTGGATGCTGGAGGAAGAGTGAATATTCTACTAGGCCGAGGAACCAGTTTTTT